GATTGTGTTCCTAATATTTAAAGTGCGGGGATCTGGATGAGCTTTAACTGAGCTGACAAAGCACAGAAGTGGGTGATGTTCATCAGGTGGGGAATGGACTGAAAACAGCTTTAAAATCCACAAACAGATTGTGCTCAAATATATACTGTATATATAGTCAAACATGGTAGCGGGAGTATTATGGTTTGGCTGTTATTTTGTGCCTGGATCAGGATGGCTTCCCACTAGGGATGCACGATATTGGATTTTTTTTACCGATATCCGATATGTTAAAACTTACATGGTCGATAACCAATACCAATATTTTTTATATACTTTCCTTTGTCAGAACATTGCCCTCTTATTTAAGCTTATTTGCTACAAAAATTGTGTAACAGCTGTAAAAGTTGGTGACATCTATTCTGTAACAGACATATGATATGCTTTAACTTATAGTAAATGAAAAGTGTTAAATATTATTCATTAGCATTAGTCACCTGCAATGCTGTCTCACTTGTGGAGGCTTGTTCCAGGTTCCTAGCTGCAATGTGAGATCCTCTGCACTCCTGTGCATGAAGGACAGCCGTTTTAAGTTCAAAGTTATTATCTATCCATTGTGCCATAAGACTAATCATGCTAACGGGGCTAACACTTAACGTCCAAATGTCTGTGGTAAACCTCACAAGTGCTATCGGCTATTAGCTTCTTAATGACGTCGGAAATAACGACTTGTATCTCGGGTAAGGCAACGTCAGAACAGTATTTCTGACTGGGGACAATGTAGCAAGGCTCAACGTAGTCCAAAAATATTTGGACTCTAACATTCTCAACGAAAAAAAACTTCCACACCTCCGACATTTTGACTTCTTCTTCTCCACTGTGATCGGATCAGATAGACGCGCGTGACGTCATCACGTTGTGCTGGGGCTGCAGGCATCCTTGTCGGTGGTTGTCATACAAAAACAGCTTCTTTTATATCGGTGAGTTATTTTGATGGAATGGTCGATGTCCGATATTTAACTTTAACGCTAATATTGGCCGATACCATGCCGATAATATTGTGCATCCCTACTTCCCACCACTCTAAACTCTACATAAAACCAGCAAAATTGTAAAACATAATACTTGACATCAGACCATGACCTGAATCACAGGAAGACAGACTCTTCTGGAGAATGGCTGAAGAGTTTTACAGCAATCCAGTCAAATTTATGACTTTTAAAGACAACACAAGCAGCTCTCGGGGCAATCCATCAATATGCCAGAAGAAAAGTTTGCCCATATGTATGTTACAAAGGGTAATTTTTCCCAACATATAAATAACTTCACTTAAACAGTAGGTGAAGTCACACTGATAAGTAGATGTAAAAAAACTCTCAAGGCCAAACAATATTTAAGTGTCTCTGTCGCTTATAATCCTCTACTTCCAAGCTTTGACTGAACACTTCTATTTTTAAAGACAAGGAATCTCTCTGTTGTGGCTCTCATGCTCCTTCCTGCCTCTGTTGTCACGATCTGTTTATGAGCAGAGAGCCAAAGAAAGAAGAGCGCTCAACACTCGTCCTCCCATCTGCAACGCTCCGACAGTCGCCCTGACTGTAAGCAGATGTGTGCCAACGACTCTTCAGACAATAACAGGCCAGCGAGTATTCAAACAGAGAGTAAATATATCCTGGAGGACAGTCCTGGGGTGTGTTGGTTTACAACCAGGCCATGTGATAATCAGACGTGAACATTATTCACTGTGATGATGGCTGCTGACGTGTGAGGAAGAGGAGAGCTGCATGCTCACAGATGGGTGTGTATATAAAACAAAGACCTCAAGTAAACACTCAGCAAAGTAATGTTTGCTAAAGAGTGAGAGTTAACAGCAGAGCTAATCCTGGCTCCAGTTGGAAAAGATACTCATGTATTTATTACTTGTTCTAGTGGTCGTGATAATCCGGCTCTTAAACTTAAAATGGTTTGTAAACTTCATTTTGGTGGCTCATTTTTAAAGTTGTAATTTAATTCATGCAAGATCTAACAACTCTACTTTCAAAATGACAGTTTAAGGAATTATTCCGATATCTTAAGCTATAACTCTTTCTGTGCAATTAGGAATATTAAAAAAAATTGTCCTTTAGAGCCAGTTAAAAAAAGAGCCAGGTAATAGTACTCTTCTGTAGGAAAAAAGAAACATACATAAAATGATCTACTTCTCTCCACTTTTCAAAACCAGGTTAATCTCTCTGTTTACAGGGGATGCTATATGCCTGATGAAAAGTGGGTGAAGCATTTGCAACACAACCGTTTTATCACATCCGCCAATTAATTATAATTATCGCACGTCGCCGAAGGTAAAGGGACATAAATATGGATGCTACACACGTCATGTTTACTAATTCTGAAGTTACTGCAGAATTGGAACCAACAAATGAAAAAAAGAAGATAAAGGAAAAACAAGTCTCTCTTGTAAATGAGTCCTCGTGACTCAATGAGACTAATCTATATAAATAAAGGTTGAATGATCTTGCTGCTTCCCACCTTGATGCAGAACTGTGACAACCATCGCATTTTAATGACGTAAAAGTTGGATGAAATGCAACACAACCGTTCAAACTGAGGTTGCTTTGGAAAATATAAGATTTGAATCCTATTTTGTACCACATGTGAAAGTGGTCCATTTGAACAGTGGTACGCTGATGTCCCCTGTTGCTGAGGGATCTGAATAGAATACGTTTTAGAAAATGGTTTTTCTGGACTGGAATTGAACAGAGAAAACAAGTAAACCTTAATGTTTTTGGTGCAAGATATTCAAGGTGAACAAAGGGAGCAACTTTATCCACAACTAGGCCCAATGGTGGAGTCAGGGGGCGGCTAAGGCCACCACAGATAAATATTCAGCCACCCCAATCATTTGAGGAAACTATACTTTTAAGCAATGTTAAAAATTTGAAAGCATAGTTGGGGTCCTCAAATGATCAGGGTGGCCGGTTTACATATAGTGCCATGCGAAAGTATTCGGCCCCCTTGAACTTTTCAACCTTTTGCCACATTTCAGGCTTCAAACATGAAGATATAAAATTTTAATTTTTTGTGAAGAATCAACAACAAGTGGGACACAATCGTGAAGTGGAATGAAATTTATTGGACGTGTCAAACTTTTTTAACAAATAAAAAACTTGTATATTATTCAGCCCCCTTGCGTTAATACTTTGTAGCGCCGCGTTTTGCTGCAGTTCCAGCTGCAAGTCTCTTGGGGTTTGTCTCTATCAGTTTTGCACATGGAGACTGAAATTCTTGCCCATTCTTTCTTGATAAAAGCTCGAGCTCAGTGAGGTTGGATGGAGAGCGTTTGTGAACAGCAGTCTTCAGTTCTTTCCACAGATTCTCGATTGGATTCAGGTCTGGACTTTGACTTGGCCATTCCAACACCTGGATACGTTTATTTGTGAACCATTCCATTGTAGATGTGACTTTATGTTTTGGATCATTGTCTTGTTGGAAGATAAATCTCCGTCCCAGTCTCAGCTCTCTTGTAGACTCAAACAGGTTTTCTTCCAGAATGGTCCTGTATTTGGCCCCGTCCATCTTCCCATCAATTCTGACCATCTTCCCTGTCCCTGCTGATGAAAATCAGGCCCAAACCATGATGCTGCCACCACCATGTTTGACAGTGGGGATGGCGTGTTCAGGGTGATGAGCTGTGTTGCTTTTACGCCAAACATATCGTTTTGCATTGTGGCCAAACAGTTGGATTTTGGTTTCATGTGACCAGAGCACCTTCTTCCACATGTTTGGTGTATCTCCCAGGTGCTTGTGACAAACTTTAAACAACACTTTTTATGGATATCTTTGAGAAATGGCTTTCTTCTGTCCACTCTTCCATAAAGGCCAGATTTGTGCAGTGTACGACTGATTGTTGTCCTATGGACAGACTCTCCCACCTCAGCTGTAGATCTCTGCAGTTCATCCAGAGTGATCATGGGCCTCTTGGCTGCATCTCTGATCAGTCTTCTCCTTGTTCCAGATGAAAGTTTAGAGGGACGGCCGGGTCTTGGTAGATTTGCAGTGGTCTGATACTCCTTCCATTTCAATGATTGCTTGCACAGTGCTCCTTGGGATGTTTAAAGCTTGGGAAATATTTTTGTATCCAAATCCGGCTTTAAACTTCTCCACAACAGTATCTCGGACCTGCCTGGTGTGTTCCTTGGTCTTCATGATGCTCTCTGCACTTTGAACAGAACCCTGAGACTATCATGGAGCAGGTGCATTTATACAGAGACTTGATTACACACAGGTGGATTCTATTTTTCATCATCAGTCATTTGGGACAACATTGGATCATTCATAGATCCTCACTGAACTTCTGGAGTGAGTTTGCTGTACTGAAAGTAAAGGGGCCCAATAATATTACACGCCACACTTTTCAGTTTTTGTATTTGTTAAAGTTTGACACATCCAATAAATTTCATTCCACTTCACGATTGTGTCCCACTTGTTGTTGATTCTTCACAAAAAATTAAATTTTATATCTTTATGTTTGAAGCCTGAAATGTGGCAAAAGGTTTAAAAGTTCAAGGGGGCCGAATACTTTCGCAAGACACTGTATATACTGTATTTGGAGGTGGCCATCTTGGATTTTGACATGGCAACCCATTTTTTGATAGTGCCCTTTCTTATGCCTGCATGCAGCCACACATCAAAATGGAAGTTGGTACCTCCCTTTTTTCTTCCAAGTTGTCCAGCTCACAAGATGAACCAGACAAATGGACAGAAATTATTTCCAACGTCATTCTGCGACGGGGACAAAAGCTTGGATTTTTGACATACAAAATGTAAAAAATTAACAAATATAAGTCACATATGGCATAAAAGTTGGATTTGGGCCACTTTGTAACAGTTTATACACATTTACGCTACACCGTTCCTTTAGCTTTTATTACCTTGTGAATAAAAGTTTGTTTTTTCTCATATTTTCACATCTAGGAATGAACTAAAACCAAACGTTGGTGAGGTGTAGTGTTCTCTCTCCTCACCAGAAATGAGGAGGACTTTTGGAAACGAAGCAGCAGCCTTTTCTGCGCCAGGCTTAGCCGTTTCCCTCTCTTACTCCTGAGCAGGATTCTCTGCACTTGTGCTGACGGACGCCGCTTGGGCCACAGACGCACCCGATGATTGTCGGGCTTCAGCCACTGGTGACAGTACGAACAGTAACAGGTGTCCTGAAACAAACTGGAGAGACTGTTCTTTTTCTTCGATAGAGCTGTAAAAAAAAAGAAAGTTATCAGGACCCATGCTGGTACAATGAGTCAGAATGTGCACAAGCTGATTTTTGCTATAATTGAGATTTGCGTAAAAATACGCAAATTATACACTATATAAATTATATGCTATCTAAAATGGTGTATAATTTTCCTAATCTATCTTCAAATTCTTAAGTCCTACCTTTAATTTTCTTTAAAATTGGCATTTTTCTCAAGCAGCTGCAGTAACCCCAGTAAATCTCTTCGTATGTTTGGCATCGTGTAGCTTTTAAAATATAAGGTTGAAACTCCAAATGACATCACTCCAGACCAATAAAAAACAAGTTTTCAAACAGGCACTCTCGTGTAGAAAACTAGCTTGTTGTTAGCCTGGTGATGGATCTCCAAACATGAACAAACTACATATCAGTTTGAAGCTTTTACGATGGAGAATCAGAAACAAATAACTCGGGTTTGAAAAATTTCTCATTGTGACTCATTTTACCAGCACGGTTCACATTTTGCATGACATACAGTAAGTCAGGGCAGGCAGGGCAGATGTTCGGCCTAGTTCTTTTTGCACAAAAACAAGCTATATTTCTATTATTCCTTTATTATTATTTGGACTTGAACAATGAAATAGGCAAGACAAACCAATCTCTGTGTAAACTGCACGTTTGCTTCTCAGGTACCAACTCCTGCCCTTTTTATGGAGAGAACCCTAACCAGACTTGCTGAATGGCTCCACTGGTGTGGTTTAGTTTGGCATGCGTGGAAGATTACACGTGAGTGTTTGTTTCCAGTGAGCTGTCTGCTACAGACAGATGGACGGATGACCATGTGTTTAGCTGAGGATTTATTGAGTTTCATCAACCTTGACAAGCTGGTGACAAGGTCCTCCTCACTACATCCTGTGTTTGTAGCTTCAGAGCACCAACGATTAAAAACATGCAGGAAAAAAAATATATAAATGCCAACTCACCATTTGCCTTGAAAGAATACTGCCTACAAAAAAGGAGAAATATCATCAGACATTGACACATTGCAAATGACCAGAAAACAACTTTTTTATGCAATTTAACATTCATGCTCTAGCCAGAGTGTTCAAGTTATACAAATATGTCATGGTTGTGACAAATAGTAAATATAGTTTGTTTGAAGTGGATATGTTTATGAAAAAAAATCTATTACAAACTGGAAAAATCAATTTAGAGAGAGGTAAAAAAAGATTAGATGCTGGCAGCTCTTCACGTTATATGGAGCGGTAAAAACGGAAACGGAAACATACAGAAAGAATTATCTTCCAAACAGCACGGGGCGACATCACCTTCCCAAAAGGCTTCCTCTATTTTTAGGATTGACTGAAATATTTGTGTAAACATTTTAACTAAGCCACAGCTAAGCTCTGATAAAATTAGCTCCGGGAGTAATGCGAGGTCATCGAATTTTCTGAGACACTGACATTTGGTATTTCATTATTTATAAGCCATAATCATCAAAATTACAAGAAATAAAGACTTGAAATATTTCACTCTGTGTAATGAATTTATATAATAAGTTCCTCTTTCTGAAATGATTAACAAAAAATAAATTGAACTTTTTCACATTACTGTATTCTAATTTTTGAGCTGCACCTGTACAAATACTTTCAGGTAAGGTCGTCAGACTGAAGGTTGGCCACGATGGCATCGTTGCAGGTTTACACAGAAGCTTGCAGTGTATTATTGGTGTCGTACGTTTTTCAAGTTCAAGTAGGTTTTATTGTCATTTCAAAATTGTGTACACACGGTCCCAATTACACCCAACGAAAGCAAAAATATAGTGTAAAAAGAAACAGTACGGTATATAAGGATCTAAAATATACACTAAGATATAAGCTAAATGAATGCCAAACGGTACGTTAAAAGATCTAAGATATACGCTACACAATAATAATATAAAACGATACGCTGAACAACAGCAGCGCAAACATGAGTCTGTGTGAGTTGATGAGTACGACTGAATATTTTTATTTAAACTTTTGTTTTTTTTGGTTAAATTATCAAGAAATGGTGAAGTATTGTCATGCAGACGGCCGCTGCGATAGGTCAGACTGTGAGGAACACTTGCGCTACTACAAGATACCACACATAAACGAGAATCTAAAGGAAGCCACTTAAAATTATCAGAGGAGCGGGGCGTCTCTGTCTGGGCAGGTTAAATCTGAATTTCTACGGGAAAACCATGAGCAACATCCGAGTTTGCTCTGCACAGTTTGTGTCAGGTACGGTAATATTTGGAATAGATGAAACTGAATTGCCTTTTACCAGGCACTTGCCATCAAGTCACGCGCACTCTTTCTCTGATCCATCCACAACACATCTGATTGTACACCTCTAACAAAACACCAGATCATCGGCTACAAAAGGACTTTGTGAAAACACCAAATAGTTCACAGTGTCTGGATAGGTCAAAGCTGGCAGAACCTTTTCATCTTCAGTTTACCAAGCTTGTGCGAGTCTTGGCAACTAATTATTGAATTGAATTACATGCAGTTATTCTAAATACCTCTTTTGCTGAAGGCTCAAAATCATCTACATACTTTGGAGCAGCTTATGCCTTCTTTGCAGAAGTTCACTCAGTGAAATCGAGGAAAATAACTTAAGCTTCGATTGTTAAGCGTACCTTGTTTACAGTGCATCTCCATAATGGCAGCTATTACGATACTCTGCGGGTTGTAGGACGTTGGTGCAACGGGTCTATTCTTCTATCAGACTTCCTTATTGTTTACGTCACTGACTAAATAATGCAACAGCATAAAACGACATGTTTTGCTTTTTTTCTTTGTAATGCAACAACCCCAGTATCTCTGTGAGAATTTAGCTTTCTTCCTGTTCCCCTGATGAGACACTTCCTAGAAGACGTATCCCAGGGCACAGCCTTATTAACATACTTGTCATTCATCTCCTTTTATGTGCATGTTTTGTTGCGTGATGGAGGCTGAAGATATGAGTCCTAAACATGTCTGTTGGGAGATATGATCAACACGGGTCTAATGGACATGAAACGGGTGGAGGGAGCAGTAAGTTTATGTGTTGGTTACAGTTTGAAATGTGAGATTAAAACAAAATAAGCAAGAGCCAGCTAAATGAAAGAACGTCCAGCAAAGATTTAGAACAGAGGTACATGACACGTGTTCATAGCAGATCAAATAATGATCCCAGTGTCTGAAGCATTCAGGTTGGAAATGGTTCCCTGCCTAACAACTGGGCAGATCCACTTCACCGTTTCCTGTATCACATGAAGGAATGCCCGAGGGCTGTAAGAGATGATCGGTCTGAAAGATAACGTTTCAACAAGATAATCCAAAAAAAAAAAAAAAACAGAAGCAGCCGGTCAACTACAGAAAACTCAGAAAAGAGAATAAATTTGGAAAACCAATAAAATGTTTTAGTGAAACCCCACTGCAAAATAGTCTTAAAGGGAATTTTGAATAAAAACTTGTCAAAATGTCAAATAGGTGCGTCAAGAACTGGATAATATGTAATTTGCAAATAAGACACTAATGGTCTGGAGGGAAATACTAGCTTTTTATAACCAGCAATTACTTTTTTTTTCAAAATGATAACATTATTTCTGAAAATGTTAAAAATAATTCTTGTATTAATAGCCATACTTTAATTCCCTGTTTAAAAGACGTTTATAGATTGTCTTAATTAAGAAAATGGATGTAAAAGTATTGTGAATACAATTCTTTAAAAGAAAAACAAAAAACAGTAGTTTAGGAATCGTTACAAGAATGTGACTCGTCTTTTTGACAAATATTTTTAGTTGTTAAATCGATGAAAGCAGCTTCCTCTTGCTGCTCCATCTGTATCCCCAGTTTCTACAGATTAAAGTCCATTTCTATTTTAATATTGTAAGGGTTTTATCAATACTAAACCAAAAAAAAAAAGAAAGAAAAGAACGGACCATGTGGTAAGAATAAAATCTTGAGTAATACTTGATGCTATTTAAAAGTCATGACGTTATATATCCAGCAGACAACATGCATGTTTTGGTGATTATAAGAACACAATGTGAGGAACACTAGATTAGATTAGATCAATATTAGAACATTATGTGAGGCTCTGGTTATTTACTGGAAAATGTTTCACTGACCTGGATCACATGTGAGCCTAAATATGACGACATCAACTCACACAAAACAACTAAAACACTCACATGAAGCAGCAGACCTTTCACCCACCTCCTCATACACATTCAACGAGCAGAACACTCTCAGACAATCCTTCTTTATTCTAAAGCAGTATATACGATAACGCATTGTAATCCTCGCACACAAAGCCATTCAGTCATCAGCCTGACAGAAGGTGGACAGCAGCAGTAGGCAGTAACACCATCTTCGATGTGTAGCGTTGTGAATAATGCCACGCACCCACGGCACAAACACTTCAGTGACGCACCGGCCAAGACCACTACTGAGAAGACCAAAATGATGGAAACCCCCAGAAGAACAGAGACAGATGAGCTTTCTGTTTTAAACGCCATCTGAATAGACGCCAACTAAAACATTCACATTCCCTTCCATTTTACACCCATTACGCTGCCTTTCATATGATCATTCTGGACGAAGCTCGCTTAATTAGCTCATAATGCAGAGTGTAAGGGTTTTTAGCTGTGGCTGATAAATGTGTCTTCACTGCCAGGCAATTTGGCACAAAAAGAGTTTTACAGAGAGCGATCTACTCATTTGTTTTTGCATCCTGCCTGCTGAACAGCTGGTTGTTAATAAATATGGTTGTCTAATCCAACAAGCAATCATTGCCTGAGAATCTGTGGAGTAGCTCATGCTTTAACATGGACGTATGCTCACACACATACCTTTTTTATTTAAACCTTTATTTTACCAGGAAAGAAATCCATTTGAGATTATTAATCTATTTTACAAGGATGTCTGTAAAATGACCCAAAGTGGGGCAGATTTGACAGTAAAATCTGTGGTTTTGTTTCCATTCATGGTTTTGCCCACAGATTTCCTGGCTCGGGTGAAAGAAAACAAGCTAGAGGATATGCGGACATGGCTGCAACCCAAAACAACCACAAGACTCCAAGTCCAAACACACTTTAGATGTATCGGTGCCTCTTTAAACCAAAATAAAGACACGTTTTCCAAAGGTGCAAAACCACTAGTTACTATCAGTATGGTCAGTTCTTAACATATTATTGATGAAAAACATCAAATATAATGTTACACCCACTTTTTCTGGGGATTCTCCAAACATCTATATTAATATTTAGCTCTTAAACGTCTTTAAAGCTCTAAATTGTACAGCCTTTTAAACAAAACTGACAAACCTATGGTTTAAAGAAAGCACAAAACAAAGAGGTGAAGAGCTGAAACTTGGGGAAATTGGACAAGGTTTTAAAACTGCTTATTTTCAACACTACAGCATAATATATAAATGAAACTACTAATGACATACATTAGACAGGTTATTACTTGAGAAAAATGTGGTACTGTACTCTGGAGTGTCTTTGACCAGAACTGAGCTGACAGCAGACGGACTTGTTCTCTTGTTTGATTAAAGCTATTGTCTCTGCTTGTTCCATTTCTATAGTTCTAATTGCTCTCACTTTAATGTCTTTTTAAGTGGCACAACCTAAACAATAAGTAAGAACCATTTCATAATTTAGGATAGAATTGGTTTAAAGATATGATGTTGCATTCCTATAGACATGATGCTCAAACGTGTTCTCAACACCTGGGATTTACAAATTTGGCTCATATAAAACATTAGTATGATAAGAACACAAGCAGAGGTACTGAAGGAAACTATTCACGTCTTACACATTAAAATCACAAGAAAATAAACAAAGGTTGTGACAGGGTATCATTTTTAAATAAATTACTTATGTTACATCAGTGGGAAGTTTAGATGATTCTCTGTGACAGCCAAATGATTTTTTTAAAAATGCATGTCCCAATACACACACAAGGAACATGTTTTCCAGGAATCACCTAGCTGGTGAAATTCTGCCACTTAGCGGCCACAAGCTGTAACTACAACAATGTAAGACAAGCCGCGAGTGAAACCACGGGTAAATGTGCATTTACAGCCGAATTTAAGAAAGAAAGAAAAAACTTACAAGAAGAACCGTGATAGCTCCTGGCACTTATCATGATACAGCAGAGACGCCTCAAAAAAAAACTTGGCAGACCTAGGCTCCATTGCTAAGCGTATTTCGCTTGCTGAAAAAGTACAATTCAGCTGGAATTAAGGCTAAGAAAAATGACTAGCAGAACATTTAAGAAGCTTTGAGGTATAAATTAAACCCTAAAGAATGTTCATAAATACACCCGGTGCTGTTGTCCCAAAAAAACAACTGCAAAAATGTAATAATTTAAGGGTATCCGATTAGCTTAGCCTCTCCAACTGCCTACGCTAGGTCGCAAAGCTCTGACGTTGCACCCGCTGCATTGTGGGAGATGTAGTTAAATCAACGCACACGAAGAAGCAACAGTTATTTGAGACCTTTGATCCATTTAGGCGTTAAAGTAAACAAAATGAAAGTAAATAACAACATGATGATAAATAATAGTCAGGTTACTTGATACTTAAAGTTAATTTGATTCAAAGTAGTTGTTTAAAGCTATTTTTACCGTCTGCTACAATTTAAAGCTAAAGTAAAAGATCACAAACTCGCCATTGTACAATAATAAAATAAATAATTATTCCAGTTTAATTGGGTAAGGATTAATTTGAGGTCATCCTTTCTTACACCTCATTGGACAGGGAGAATTACCAGCGGTAAACGCTAGTGGGACAACATCTTTATACTGGACTCAGCGCACAAACCTTGGAGTAATGCATCCGTCCCTGGACTCAGTGAAATTGTTTCAGTACGTCTGTGAAGGAATTCCCAGAGAGGGTCCTGACGGCGTGAGATTGGCTATTTGGAAGAAGGAGCAACAGCAACCTGGGGGGGGGGGGGGGTGCATGAGTGCGCACCTTTCGCCGGGAACAGGAGAAGCGCAGCAACGCGGCCAGACAGGGATGGAGCAGGGCACGGAGAGAAGTTGCAAGGAGCTTTAACTCGGAAATGGAGGGGTGTTTGATCCAGAGACTCAGGAAGTTTTCATGGGATTTATCTCCAGCTTTAAAAAAAAAAAAAAAAAAAAAAAAAGACTCAAATATTCTGACAGCAGGTTTGGGATTTCATCTTTACATCCATCATACTTTAATGACGCCTGGAGCGAATCTGGTATATTTTAATAGGTTGCACTTTTTTTGCTTGTCTGTGCGCTCATGGATGTATGGATGGATGTATGGATGGATGTATGGATGGATGTATGGATGGATGTATGGATGGATGTATGGATGGATGTATGTATGGATGGATGTATGGATGGATGTATGTATGTATGTATGGATGGATGGATGGATGGATGGATGGATGGAGTCCGCTGCCAGACTGAAGAGATTTTAAATCACCAGAGCGCGCAGAGCTAACAGAAAGTGATGGAGTAAGTTCAAGTGTGAAGGATAGCTCCTTTTCTCCCCCTCCTTTTATCATCAGGCTCTGTCAGGAAAAGCGTGTCCGCGCGCACGAGCGGCGCGTGCAGCTCCGCGTCAAGTGCAGTCCGAGGATAAAGGGACTCTCAGACAGCTGGGAACACACGCAGACGCACAGGCACGGAAACTGCTGCAGGGCAGGACAGGTAGGCTTCCTCCTGTGTCACCAGATGAAGACTGTTGCTTTAAGGGGCAGCCTTGACCAGACTTGTGGCTTCTTCTCTTGATATAATTTCAAGCTGTTAGACGGTGTTCTCTGTCTCTGATGGCTGGCTGGAAGTGTGAGGACATTTGTTTTTACTGCAAGCAGCAACTTTAAAGGGACAGTCTGTTGATTTTTGTCAAACAGTTATCATTTAGTACGTTCTGATTGATGAAGTCAGGTACAGAACAAGAAAAAAAGTAGCCTTCAGGATATAGGTTAATTGTTAGCAACGATTGGGCCCTTTTATATAATTTACAGGTGTATGAAACAACTCTAAAATGCCACACAATTAACTAAACTTGTACACTTTTGCATGGAATCATTTGTTTAACGTTGTTGTTTTTCTGCCAAAGAACTTTGGTGTAAATGCAAACTCTCCTGAATGTCTCTCTCTACTTGTGCAAACAATCAGAAGATCAGGCAAAATGATACATTCATCAGCCTCAGGAGATCAGTTTAAGGGTGATTTATACTCCACCAGAAGTCTAAGTTGGCTCATGGTTGCAGAATGCATGCTTGCATGGCATTTGTTTTCACACATTCAGAGTCTATTGGAGACACGGTGTTCCTGGAAGATCCTTCTGTAGAATGCAATGCCACACTTTTTGGCAGACAGACTCTTTCGTGCAAAATAGTAGCTGAAGTGAAAGAACAACATTGCTGTCGTAGTTTCTAACTTCTGACCAGTCACACAATACTTTGCACCAGGGGCGATTCTAGAATCTGACCTTCAGGGGTGCTTAGCCCCCAGTGTTGACTATGGCTATTGGCTTGAACAACGCAGTGGCTATTGGCGTCAAAAGCATTTGCAATATGGGGGGTGGTGGTGGGGAATACACTGGTGGTGGTGGTTTCTGCAGGTCCTCCCCCATGAAATTTTGAATAAAGTAGATGCTATTTCCTGCATTTTGGTGTATTTTAACGCGCCGTTAAACATCTGCGTTTGCCTACATCAGTAAGCACTTGCTTCAATAACTATTTTAGAGAGCAACAACAAGAAGCCTGACCAACAGCTCACCTTGTGTGAATAGAGCACAAGCCGCTTCTCTCACACATCCTAACACCCCCAGTCGACAACTGACGGCAACTGTATTGTGGTGCCCAAAGATGTGCTAAGATGCTACGCTCCACTTTTCTCATGCAATACCCACCCCCCTCCCCCCCACCCCAGCTCCTGCAAGTAAGGGGCGTTTCACTTCGGGACAAAAAGAGGTAGCCGATTGGTCAGTTGCAGATGAGCCTACTGGATTGATTGACAGGTGGCATTATTGAGGATCCGACTCATGCAAAAAAAAATAAAAATAAATAAATCATAGATATTATTGGCCCATTTGTGTCATCATTTATTTCATATTTTCTCTATATTTTTGATGAATCTAAAGTTTGAGAACCGAGTTTCCTTACAAAATCTTTTCTTTTTTTTCTTTTTTTCCAGGGGTGCAGATTTAAAATTTAGGTGTGCTTGAGCACCCCAAAAAAGAGGCTAAAATCACCACTGCTTTGCACATACCCCATGAGAAAAAGCTTGAACCGAGCCTTGTGTCAAGAAGGGGCAGATAAGTCAACTACAAGAACAAAATGATGTGATTTGCACCACACAACTGCACCAATGTGATCCAAGTTATTGGCTTCAGATGGAGTAAAAAACACCCATTATAGCAACATATTACTAACTGACATTTTACTGACATCACTTAAAAAAATCGGACTACCCCTTTAATCTCTGAAACCGTCGGATGATTGCGCTCCTCTGCTGACTCACGCAGGATGAAACCTGCAGCCCTGAAGGTGGTAATCTCCCTCTCACTGAGCTGCTCACACCTGTCTCCATTGTGCTACAGAGAGGCAGGTCACCTCTTACGCCAATGGGGAGCCTTGCATGGGAGAAGAGTCATCCCCAAAGTGTGCCGTCAGCATCTGCAGGGAAAAGCCAATCGCAGCGGGAGCCGTATCACTCCTGAAACACAACACCGCCTCCAATAACGCTGAGAAGGCTCGAGAGCAAAGACGCAATCTGTGAGTGTGTTTGTGTGCATGAATAAGTGAGAGTACAGTCGGTGTCTTTGTGGTGACTTTTCACACTCAGCCAGTCATGCAACTATAACAACCTGAGGGTCCCCTTCTGGCGGCTTCTTTCCCGGCATACTGATGTGAGTCAGAGTCACTCGTCTGAGGTCAACCCCTGCAGACCTCTTTGGGCTGCTGACTTTAATAGCCTGCATGTTCTGTAAGGAGTGGGATTATGCAGCTTTAATTAATAATTCAATGCACTAAGGCCAGTTAATGTGCAATGTTTTGGGCTGTTTCCTGATTACTGGCTTCATTAGTTTTAGGCTTTTGCACGTAACTGTCTCGATAAAGCAGTGTTAAAATCAGCATCTCATTTGCAGGTTTTTGCAGATGTCTGTTTATGGAAGTCTCTCTTTTCTGTGCATCATTTCCAGAACGGGCTCTTCCCCAGTATGTATTGTTATATCTGGGAATTATAGTAAGTAAGTAAGTAAGTAAGTACAACTTTATTTGTAAACTGCTTCTCAAGATAAAAATCACAAAGTGCTTGGACAAACAAAATTTTAAAAAGTGCACAAAACAAATTTAAGCAAAAGCAGATTTAAAAAGATGAGTTTTTATCTGGCCTTTAAAAGAAGCCACTGAGTCGACTGATCTGAGAGTTTGAGGAAGGGAGTTCCAGAGACTTGGAGACACAGAAGAAAAGGCTCTGTCTCCTTTAGTCTTCAGTTTTGTGTGGGGGACAATCAGCAGATCTTGATCACAGAACCTCAAGGCCCTGATAGGGGTGTAGGGATGTAAAAGTTCTGAGATATAAATTGGTGTCTGTCCATGCAGAGCTCGCCAAGTCAAAACCAAAACCTTGAAATCCACTCGATGAACCAATGGCGTTGCTTTAGAAGTGGAGTTATATGACAGAATTTTGAAGATACAGTCAGAAGTCTAGCAGCAGCATTCTGCACAGACTACAACTGGTCTAGAGAGGTTTTGTTTAAACAAGTGTACAGTGCATTACAAAAATCCAGGCGAGACTAAACAATCAGAATCAGAATAAGCTTTATTATCATTGCACCAATAGACAAAGCTTTTCCTTAGTTCACACATTTCCCAGGAGAAATTGATAAGTCAGCCTGTTTCGAGGCCAACCTGGGAGTCAGATTCAGATAATACACATTTGTTGATTTATTCAGGCAGACTATTTTTCTTGTCAGCCTTTGAGTCTGTACTGATATTTCCAAGGTCCGAAATGGCCAAATTATGGTGCATTCTATTGGTCCGTGCTTACGAGCCTCTTCAAGGTCGTTTCCATGCTGACGAGTCCCAAAGCCGCAGGTAGCCTGCGATTCAAATCACTTCCATCTTATGGTTTAGCTTGGAAATCAGCTGATTTTGAGTCCTCAAAGCACGAACCAGACCTTCATATAGGCAGCAGCCTGACGAGGGCCAAATTAGCTGCGGCTGTCTTCTTTGTACGTTGATAAACCAGGAACCAGACAATTCCAAAAACAGGAAATCTGTTATCATAACTCCAATTATATGCA